ATCCTCAAATATGGGAAGTAAGGATCTCACCTATTTGACAAATTATGTCACTTTCAGAAAAACAAAGCAATAAGACTTTTGTTTTTCTACCTTACGTACTTCTAGAGAAAGTCTTTATGTCAAGAGCTCCCTGAAATAGTTTGCGCAACTCCAGATTGCCCTTGGTGAAGCAGACTAGTTAGTACTGCTAGTGAGCAGAGAAAAACAAAAACAAGAACAAGTGTTTGGCCTGAAAGGGGCAGTTATATTGTATAGACCCTCAGAGAACTGCAGAGGTCCTCAAACACAGTGGGTGGGTAATTTGACCAAACGCCGCAGTTAATAATCAGAGGCCAGATAAACCAAAGCAGACGAGACCAAACAGAGCAATCCTCAGAGACACAAAGCCAAGACGGGGAACACGCCCTCAGCAGGTTCTCGGGTGCTGGTTAGTGTGGAAAAAAGGGACGGTATCTCAAGAGCCCCTAGCAACTCCAAAGCTCCTGGGATGAGGTATGGGGTGGCCTTACAGGCCTGCCCCACAGACTGAAACAAGGTTCCATGACCCTGCACCCCCTCTGGGAGTCGCTCATACAATTCCTTTCTTCCTAAGGAGGGCTCAGGGCCTATGATTTGCTCCTCACCGATGAAATGCAGCAAAGGTGATGGAACATAAACCCTCCTCATCACATGGCTACTCAATAGCGCCCGCCTGCCTTGTCAGAATCTCTCTTAGGTGGTTTTTTTTGGTGGGCGGGATTAGGCTTTTCTGTGGTACTGGGGATTAAATTTAGGGCTCTACATCCTGGGTGTCCTCCCTCTTTATATTTAAGATAGGAGCTTGCCAAATTGCCCAGCCTCCCAGAGCACTGGGATTCCAGCCATGGGCCACCATGCCCAGCTTCAGTGCAACAGTACATTACCAAGCAAGGAGGGGGGAAGACAGCCTCCAAGATAGAGACGCCTACATGGGACAGGGCCTTCCACAAGTGAAAGACGCCAACAATGGCTCCAGTTTGCCTCTTAAGTACTGTGTGCTGACAAAAGTGGCATTGTGCCAGCAGGCCTGCATTTATAAAACCAAGGACGCTCTCACAGCACACTCAAGGCTAACTATACACAACATTTGTGTCCCAGGGAAAAATCCAGTGTCTGCGGAAAGCCAGCAGCCAAGGTCATTTCAGTGAACACCTGCACTTTGCCGACTCTCATCATTTAATCCCTCCTGATACACGTGTCTGATTTAACTAGCTACATCTGTGATTACTTGTTTCATAGCAACAGAAAGTGAATGCACTGGCAGGCATGGCTGTACACCCCTATAATCCCATCATTCAGGAGGCTGAGGCAGAAGCAGCACCATGAATTCAAGGATAGCCGAGATTATGTACGAAGATTGTCTTTAAAACTAAAAAAACCCAAGTGCACTGGGGCGTGCTCATATTTTATACTGGCTTCTTCCTTTTCAGATAATTTTATTGATATACAATTTAACACTTAGATCCCTTCCTTTAGCCATGGGCTGAGATTAAAATTACTCATACATTACTAGCCAATGTACTTTCCACCGTTCTACAGAATATTAGAATTAGCATATTAAGAGGGGGCACAATTGGCAGGAACTGCTCTTACTTAGGTATCTGCCACCACACAGGAGGAACACGGCATGATGTGATAGACAGGCTGCTCCACTGGAGTAAGCAGGTAGAAGTTACTGTCCCTTTGTTACCATGTTCTGAGGGGCTGAGGGTGCCTTCCAGCAGTGTTTTCCAGGTTCTTTTTATTTTGAACAAAGAACTAGACAAGGATAAAAGGTAAAGGCTTTACATTTATTAAAGGTAGGGAAAGAAATTTGCTCTGCAGAGCAACTGTGGATCAATTAAAAGTTGGAAAAGAATTCACTCTGCAGGGTGAGAGCGACCCCCGTGGAACAGAAGACACAGTGGCCAGGAGCAAGGGCTGACATCTGCACGTCTCGCACTTGTGGAGCTGACATCAGGAAACCGCGGATCAAACACCTGCCTGACTTCTCCTGAGAAGTGGACGGCACTTTGTGTGCATGTGTCCCAGCCCTGTGGTGACGGATCATGCTGACCTGCTCACTGGTTCGCTACACCCTGATCTCTGCCTCTCTAGGGCTCCTCGACTCCTCCAGGCCACGCACACCCTGGAAATGCCACGATGACTGGATTGATGCTACAGCTTCCCTTTCAGCTGAGTGATGGACTTATTTCATCACTAGCCTATGCCGTATCTTAGGTTGTGCTTCTGCCTCAATGTGATAGCTCTAAACACCAAGACCTTTCTGAGGATAACCCACTAATATTATAGATTGCTAGACAATGTTGTATTGTTTAGCTGAATTCAAACACCTATAGTATTTAGATGCCAACAGAATATCCACCTCTGACAGGACAAAAAAAAAAGGGGGGGATACAAAAGAAAGATCATTTTGTATTTATATATACAAAATAGGATAGATATACTTTCACTTAATTCAATAAGAGGTGTACTAACAGTGTTTGGACAGAATATCCTGTCTGCTTCTTGTACTACGGATAACCACTAAGAAGATAACAATGTACAATGTATTAATTATCAAAACTGTCCTATTAATCAGCTTTGAAACTGTCTCATTCATATTTGTTTCTCAATACAATTGAAATTTAAAAAAAAAACAGAAAAAACCCACCAAGACCTATGATAGGAGATTGGGACAACAGGGAGTGCACCAGTGCTGGTGTTGTCTGAGTGGAAATGTACAGTGGTAATCTGCTTTTAAATAACTCCTAAAATGAATTGTTTCATACCCTTGTTCCATGAGAAAAAAAAATTTTATAGAGCTGAATGTTTTGTCCAGGCAGCAAAAGTTTAGGCCAAATCAGATTTATGTTTAGAAAACAAATGTGATTTTGGTTAAGCTTAGGGGTTGGGTGAGGCTGTGTCTACATCTGTATTTATGGGCGCTGAGGCCCAGAAAAGCCATCTAGCAGCACCTGCACGGCCCAACTCTAGCCTCACAGAACTGACCGCAGGCTCCCTAAGGGCCCACCACGTCTCTCAGCCTTGGATTTCTCCAGCGCAGTTCAGAGGTCAAAGAGCCTGCTCAGGTGTTAACAGGGTTTGTTCCTGGTATGGATGGGGCCCTAGGAAAGGACTAGGGTACTTCCTGTGAGATGCACACAGGGGGACGCCTCACCACTCTCTAGCTTCCATCTCACTGCTCTTGCTTGTATTCCAGCTACAGATGGCAGTCAGGACGGATTGGCCACAAACCACAGGGGACCTCACTGATGAGACTGTCCAAGGACAGGCTTTTCTGTGTCCCCAAATAGTCGCAGAAAGCTAGGAAATTGATCAAAGGTGTGTAGGTGGGACTGGGTCTCAGTGTCTAAAGCAAACAAGCTACCTCACTTCTGAGATAAACATCTCTTTTGGTTAAGGTCAGCTATTAGTTGCTGGGCAACATTGTCATGTGTTACAAACTCCGCAAAAGTATAAATAAAGGATTGTTTTGTTGTGCGCTGAGTTAGTATTGCCCATCACGCAGACCAGCAACCACTTAGCCCAGCTTTTGTCTTCTTGTCTATCTTTCTCATTCCTGTTGCTGTGTCTCCCTGGGTAGAAATTTGCAGTAAGACCAAAGGATCCCTACACTGAGGTATTTTGCTACAACAATACAAAATGGACTAAAGCCCCTCAAATTTCATGGAATTCACTTACATAAGAAAACAACTTCTAAGAAAAGTTGACAACTGCTGAGGTATCAGCAGACCTGTGGTGGACTGCCGACTGGTGGTCAGCTTGTAGCACCCAGTTGAACCGAACCATCATGGTGCTGGGTGTGGGAGGCCCATCTGAGGACTGTTTCAGCAGCATAAGTGGTAGAACTGGAGAGGAAGAGAAGCTGCAGGGAAGCCGTAGAGGGCTGTTGGTTCTCCTGGGGAGCTTGTTATGCTGGCCTTCCTGATGAACTTGGCTGTTCTAATTGGAGGCGGAGCTTAGGACCTCATTGTCACTGAGGATGGCTGTGGTTCATTTTTGGGGAGCTCTGATCCTCACCTTGAGCACTGCTTCCTGGCTCTAGAGGGGAAAATGGTGCACAGCTCAGTCTCCTGGAGAAGCTTGTTATGCTGGCTTTCCTGATGAGAACTCTGGCTGTCCTCATCCCTGGAGGAGCTGTGGTTACTCTGAGCATCGCCTCCTGGTGCCCATGCAGAGCCCCCAGCCTGCTAGCACAGATCCTTCAAACTGCTGGCACAGACTTCTAGCTTCCACCACTGACCTCTGAGCCTTCCCTGCGCAGATTCATAGAAGGCCTGCATGAGGTACTGTCATGGGAGCTCAGCCTCTATCTGGACTCGTGGCTGGCGTTGTTATGGGCTCCAGGTCTGCAGCTAGACTCACTCAGGACATCACTGTGGGACCGGGGCCCTCAGATGGATTATTTGGTCTTTAGTGTGTGGACAGATTTCCTGTATTCTCTTTGTGTATGACTCTTTGGGTGACTATTGCAAAATAATCTCATAACTAAGTGTCCTATATTGTATTGTTTCCCCTTGCAAAACTCCAAACTGCAACAAAACCTAAATCTAGATGTTCAAACAATGCCATTCTTACCCATTTTGAGTCAAACTGTTAGAGGAAAGGGAGACAACACTAAAGTAATAACCCTAAACTTCCAAGTCTTTATAGTGAGGAAGCTCATAGTAGGTTTACTCACTAAAAGTGATTGAGACTGAAAATTTATTTTAATGAAAACATCTCACCAACTTTACTTTTTTTTTGAGACAGAGTATCACATGTAGTGTAGGCTGGCCTCAAACTCACAGCAATCCTCCTGCCCCAACCTCCTGCATGCTGGGATCACAGGCCTGCACCACCATGCCCAGATTCCTAACAACTTTAAATATAATTTGCATTTTTAAAATATGAAGCTCTGTGGCATCAGGACTTATTTCCTGCTCCACAGGGTTTTTTTTTCAGGTAAGGTCTTACTTTGTTATTAGGCTGGTCTTGAATTATGTAGCCTGGGTCCGTCCTTGAACTTGCAAGGATTCTTCTGCCTTTGCCCCCTGAGTGCTGGGCTTACAGGTGTCCACAGGCTTCAGCTGCCACTGCACTACTAACTCCCCGGTACTCTTGAGGCACGTGTTAGCCATGTTTTCTTCTGTGGGAAGTCCTTGAGGCAGCTTCAGAGGCTGGATTCTGTGACATAAGAAAATGTATTTAGAATTAAGCTAAGGAACACATTTTTTTTTTCAAATGACTGAGATAACAGACAACAAACCTTACGAGATGCTTAACCACTTTCAGCTTTGCATTTACTGAAGGGATGTTCTTATGAACTTGAGGAGTGTGTGCCTGTGAGCAAAAGAAACAATCCCATGGGTTAAGTTGCAGTGCGTATGGTTCTGGGTTGTGTGTTAACTGGAGGGTTTTTACCTACATCAAACGTACGATTACGAACAAGTTCCACTAAGTAGTATACTTTAACATAGGAAATACGTATCTCAAAATTTAAATAGTAGAAAAGTTAAAGTGAATTTAAACAATACAATAAAGGACTAAAGTAGCTGCATACTTTTTCTAATCCAAGCATCTTGATTACATCTTTTTCCCAATATGGTCGTCTTATTGTACTTTTTATTCTGGTAACAACATGTAGTTTATGAGGGTGCTGTGGATCCCCACCATACTTTTCATGATCTTCAGGTGAAGGCTGAAACACCTACAGAATTAGAAATAATAAATTTTCAGTTTACACAGTTTCAATGTATCTCATATTTTAAAAATATATGTATTTTAGCCATCATTTTTTTTTTTTTTTGTACTGAGAATCAAACTCAGGACCTTGTGCCTGCCAGGCAGGAGCTGTGCCACTGAGCTATAGATCCAGCTAAATATATATATATATATATATATATATATATATATGGTTTTGCATCTCATTTTTACACATACACACACCCATGTACAAACTACATAATTATCTGATCCCCAATACTTTTATAATTCCTAACCTCAAACTGAGCATTTACACCACATGAGGCTGATGACTCAGATAAACAGATTTAAAATTTCACACTCTAAGAAAAAACATCACACAGCTAAGGATTTTTCTTTGTTTTGTCTTTGAACTGGTAGAACGAAGCAGTGGCACTGAAGAATGCACGTGCTGGGGGGCTGTACCAGCACTGTTGGTGGGGCGCCCTTCCTGTGAAAGCAGGAAGTCCCGCACCTTCAGAGTGCAGACTTCACACTGGGGTACTCAGCTGTTAAAAGTTAAATATTCCAAAATCTGAAACTAAGGGTTAAGATGATATATTGTGCATTTTGCCACAATAAAAAAGTGAAGAGGGAGAGAGAAAAGGAGGGAAAGACCCTGCTCCCTCAAAAATTCAGCCTCTAGGCTGGGGAGATGGCTCTGTGGAATAAGCGCTTTCCTGGCAAGCGCAAGGGCCTGAGTTCAATTCCTGATTAAAAAAAAAAAAAAAAAAAAAAAAAAAGATTTTGGGGCTGGTGAGATGGCTCAGTGGTCTAAAGCACCTACTTACAATAAGCTTAGCAAAGCACAGGGACCGCGGTTCAATCCCCCAGCACCACATGCCAGCCAGCCCCGCCCCCTGGTGGGCTGAGCTGGCCACATATATACATAAATAAAATTAAAAAAAAAAAAATTCAGCCTCTGCACAGGTAAACACTGTTTTTAACCCTACAGTCCATAACTGTGCTCCTGAGTATTTATGGAAAGAGTTGAAAATGTACCCAAAGCCTTACACACACGTACTTTTTCTTTTTGTGGTACCGGTGACTGAACTGGGGACCTTGCACTTGCCAGGCAAGCGCTTATTCTATTGAGCTATCTCCCTGGCCCACACATATGTACCTGTACAAATTCATTACTGCCCTAAACTGAAGCACTCGAGAGGTCCGTTGATAGTTGAGGGTACAGATAAACCATGTAAATCTATACCATGGCAAGTTATAATAAGAATAAAGATAAATAAATAAAAATTAAATAAAAAATATTTATAATAATAAAGAAGCTTATTAAGCTTATCACAAGTAAGAATAAAGAAGCTTATTAAGTCATGAAAAGACATATAAGAACCCTAACTGAACACTACTAAGGGAAATCAGTGTGAAAAGATGTATCGTATGATTCCAACTATATGATGTTACAGAGAAAGTAAAACTAAAGAAACACTAAAACATCAGGCGTTGCCAGGATTTGGAAATTAGGAGGGAATTAGAGTAGTGTACAGGTGATATTCAGGGCAGTGATACTATTCTGCAGTTCTGTAATATGAATACATGATGCTAGCCATTTGCCAAAATCCATAAACTATACAGCACAAAGAAAGAACCCTATATAAACTGTGGCCTTTAATAGTAACATGTCACTGTTGTTTCAACAATTGCAACAACTGTAACATACCAGCATGCAAAGTTTAAGCCAGTGAAAACTGCATTAAAAAAATCTTTTATTTATTTATTTGGTAGTTTTGCTATGCAGCTCAGAATCACAGTGATTCTCCTGCCTCAACTTCCCCAGCGCTGGGATTACGGGCGTGAGCCATGCCTGGTTTCTGTGGCTTGCATGGGGTATGTGTGGAGGGAGAGGGGAGCACAGCATGTCAGGGATCAAACCTGGGTCCTTGGACTTGCCAGGCAGGAGCGTAGGCCGTCCAGCTATCTCCCCAGCCCCAAAAATGGAATGTTGAGGGGAGAGACTATACTGGAAGTCTCCATTCATCCTTTCTGATCAATTTTTCTGAAAACCTAAACTATTTAATGAAATAGTTGATTAATTAAAGCACAAACAAATAATGCAAAACAAAATGAAAACCAAAGTCAATACAGGAGTTAGTCTATGTCTCCTAAAAGGAGGACAGGTGTACAACAACATAACAGGAAGGGCTGAATTCAAAGGCACAATGGTGGCTGCAGACAGGGCCAAGTCATGAGAGGACGCCCGCGCTGGAAGGCCAACGGCTTCCCCACAATGGTGACACAAAAACACGTCACAGGGAAACCACAAGCAGAAACACACAGGCTCAGAAATAATAAAAACCTACTCGGAGGCAGGCCAGTGGGACAGATTAACAGAACCTACTTTTCAATATCATCATTTCCATGAATCCTACCATGATTTACATATTTATTTATTTAATGTATTTTAGGCAAGGATCTACAGGGTGTTCAGCGGCTCACTATTAGATTGGACTCATAGTGATCCGCCTGTTTCCAGCCTCCCAAGAGCTGGGATTACAGGTGCGCGCCACCACGGCCAGTCTCAGCCACCCAGACTCAGCCATCTCAGTGCATCCCAGAGGCAGGCTGCTTTCATCTTCTGAGCTATTTGGCCAGCCTTCCTACCATGTTTTAAATGCTGTACCATCACCAAATACAATATAAAAGCCTTCAATATTACAAAATGGATACCTTTTCAGACACAATTTTTTAAAAACTGCAATAAAAAAAAATTCTTACTTTATCTGGAATTCTTGATTTGGTAACTTTGTGACGAATCCAATCTGTACCCATGAGAGATTCCACACGTTTTGTCACAGTCTAAAATATGATATATAAAAAAAAAAGTTGTTCTTTTTAGTTGTTCTATCTAGTGCAGAAATCCATGCCCACCAATTTCTGTGGGCAAGGGTCTGTTTGGAACTAACCTACAATGGTTAAAAGCTTATCTCAGCTCTCAGGCTGAATGAATGTATCTCTTCTACCCACCACTGTATTATAAAGATAAAAGTATGTAAGTATATAAATGAGGAGTTGGTAAGCTTTTTCTATAAAAGAGCAGACAGCAAGTATGTTTAGCTTTGAGCTAAACCTACTGCTAAGACTTGACTCTGCCAATTTAGGATGGAAGAAGACACCCAATTTTCAAACAAATGAGTGTGACTGTTTCAATAAACCTTTATTTAGGGGCCGGGGAGATGGCTCAGTGGAATATGCGATTCCCTGGCAAGCGCAAGGGCCTGAGTTCAATCCCCGGTTCCGCAAAAAAAGGAAAAAAAAAGAAACCTTTATTTACAAAAATAAGTGGCAGGCTACATTTGGCCTGGAAGCTATGGTTTACCATCTTTTGATCTTGACAATGTGTAATAATTCACCTTCAACAAAACAATGTAAAAAAAAATTCCAAGCAAGTTTTCTTCCTAGGCCTCACTCTTATATTCCTCCCATTCTTCCTAAGCTGACTGGGGGACAGGATGGAGGAATCCTGCTAACCTTTTGCCGCAGGGAAGTGCTGTATGATGGACAACTGCTACGCCCCCATTCCCTTCAGCCTTAGACAGCAACAACAGCTAGAGGGGCAAGTGAAAGGGAAAAACTCTTTCCTACACTGGAAACATCTGGCCACTGATTTGGCCGCTTAGGGCCAAAGGAGACACACTTATCCTTCCAGAGGTCAGTCTCCTCAGAAGTAAAAGAGACTAACTACTACTGACCTCCTGGGTTGAGGTGAAGTAAGGTAATGTGGTATACGTTATTACCACTGACAGTCAGCAGCAGGTCTGCATCAAGACCTTGTTTATATCAAGGTATAAAACCTGAACCTTAAGTGTAGATTAGACTAATACATGGTGGCATTCTCTAACCATACAAGCCCATACATGAACATACTAACATCAGCTCTCTCTGGGAGATTCTCTTTTCTGTTTCTTTGTATTTTTCTAGTTTGTGACTGAAATGTACAATTTTCAGCTGGCACTGTGGAACAGACTTATACCCCCAGCACTCACTAGGTTGAGGCAGGGGGATCACTGAAAGTTCAGTCAGCCTAGGCTACATACTGAGTTCAAGGCCAGCCTGCAGTACATAGCAAGACCCAGGCTCAGAAAAACAAAACAAATATACAATTTTCATAATTGAGAAAAAAGTCCTAAGACTTTTAGGATTACAGTACACCAAGGGAATCAACAGTAGCCATATTATACTGACATGTTCTGAAGAGGTTTTATGATTCCAAAATTTTGGTATTATACTCTGGTTTCTCTTCAGATCAAATATTTTGCCTTTTACCAAGACTTTGGCATTTTTCTCTTTTTCTTTTTTTTTGGAGACAGGGGCTTACCATGTTGCCCAGCCTGGTCTTAAATTTGTGGGTTCCACTGCTGCTTATACCTTGGCCTCCCACATGGTTGGGACTAAATGAGTGTGCTACTAGGTCTGACTGTAATTCCAAATCACTAGGGATGAAATAGCAGCTCAACCAGAAATAAACAAAATTAACCTCTGCATTAAAAATTTAATATATAAAGAAAGGAATCCATAAAAGAATTTGCCTTATGTTTTGTAATCAGAGAAAAAACAACAACACAAAATTACAGAATTCTCTAGACACTCACCTGTAGCCTGCCTGGGGGCCTGTGAACCACTGAACACAAAATCCCTGCCATAGTGTCGTAATTATATGTCTTCAGAGGTTGTAGGAAGCAAACAGATCTACTGGGGAAATGCTCTGGAAATGGACAGGTTCTCCCCTTTCCTGGTGCTGTGAAATAAATCAGCAGGTTAACTGTAAACTCGATTGAAGTTTAACAATGAAATCTAGGAGCTGGGCTCAAGGTACAGGCCTATAATCCCAGCACTCTGGGAGGCAGAGGTAGGATGATCAGAAGTTTGAGCCCCGTCTGGGCAACTTAGTGACTCAGGGAGAGCCTGTCTCAAAATAAAAGATTTAAAAATGGCTGGGGAGGTAACTCACTGTGAAGGATTGGGTTTGATCCCCAGTACTGCAAACAAAACAAAACAAATCTTGATTTCAGTAAAGGCAGTGTTTTTTCTTTTCTTTTTCTTTAGTGTTGGGGGATTGAAACCAGGACCTCTACAATGAGTTATTGCACAGAACATGTGAAGCAATATATGGCATAGAAGAAGCTGTCAATAATCGATAGTCATTGTAAGGCAAGAGGAATAAGATATAATTACTCAGTGTAATATGGCTTCCTGGCAAAAACTAAGGAAATCTGAAAATGTAACTATGGACTTCAGCCAATAACGTATCAACACTGGCCCATCCATTCTAACACACACACATCATACTAACATGACATCAGCTCGAGGGGACAGTGGGTGCGGCACGTGTATGAACACTACACCACCTTCACAACTTTTCTAGACAGCTAATATTTGTTTCCAAGCCTGCAGGGCCTCTTCACTCAATCACAGTGAAAGCCAAAGTCCCTAACCTCACACCTCATTCCTCTGCACACTATTTGCCAGCCTTTGCCCCTCCACTCCGGTCTTCCCATCCTGGGTATCTAGGACTTCACTAGACAAGCTGATCCTGCTCTTGGCCTGAAACCAGTCAAGCAGCAGTTCTCTTTAAGTGGTGGAATAATCCCGACATGACTAATGCCCTTATGTCTGTCAATTTTTGTCTCAAACCTCATCTTCTTAGTAAAGTTTACCTTGATTACATTAACATTCTGACTCACAACTGTTAGCACTGTCAACCTCTTGCTTTTTTTTTTTGCAACAGCACATCTTATAAATTCACTTTGTCTTCACTTAAAGCACATCAGTTGCATGGGAAAAGGATTTAAACACTTGTTTTTTGGGCTGGTGATAGCTTGGTGGTCTACGTGCAGGCCTGGCAAGCGCAAGGACCCTGAAGCAATAACTCTTCTCTAGCACAGCTGTAAAAATAGGAAACACACACATAAAGAGAAAAAGAAAGTGGGATGTGGTGGCCTACATCTGCAATTCTAGGACTCGGGAGGGTGATCCTCGTGAGTTCTAGACTGGCCTGGGCTACAAAGTAGGAGCTCAAGACCAGCTTGAACTGCACTGAGACCCTGTCTTAAAAGGACAAACAAAAAACGCGTAAACACTCGTTTCAAAATGACCATGATGTGGGTTCTTTTAAAAAACCATTTCTGGGACTGGCAGGAGAGCTCAGCTGCTTGGGCAAACTCAGTCAGGGGCAGCGGATCGCGGTTCGATCCCCAACTCCGCACGCTACACCCAGGTGGGCGGAGCCAGCCAATAAAACAAACGATTTCTCTTAAAGAAAAATGTATTTAGTAACACAAGCACGCGGCGGGTGGGAGTGGGCGGGGAGGGGGCAGTACACAAATACAGAACATAAAACTACCTTCTTGAGATCGGGAAGGGACGTAGTACGTCTCCCTTCTCTGAACTCGTAGCGCCTAAAAGGGAACAGTCTTATAATTATCTCTTAGAAAAAAGGGTAGGAGCAGCTTTGGGTAGGTGGCGATCAAAGCATGCTTGCAATAATCAGTTTTTTTGTAAATGGCAAACATTTCGCTGCCAGCTTCACATGTTTTCATTCTAGAAGGCAGCAATTTTAAAATAGGACAATTTTACCCTCATTTTAAAAATAATCGTTACACCGATCCCCAGTGGAAGCCCTGTTATGAACAAAGCAGAAATACATATCACGCTTAAAAAGCTCACGTGAACTCCCCCCAGCACCCGCGATCCACCGAGAGCCCCAAGAGCGGCCCGGCCGTCCCGGGAAAGGACGCCGGACCGGCCGACGGCTTCTCGGGAGCCGGTGAGATGGAACTGGAACACGAATGTATTTCGCTAGGTGCAACCCGCCAACTCTGAATGGAACGGGGGGGAATAAAGCAGTACGGAGCGCAGCGAAAGCACACAGCCTTTGAAGGAAAACCTAGCACTTTCCACAATTCGCTCTCACTCACCCGCGCCCGCTAAACGTCCAGCCTGAACTTCCGCACAAAGCGGAAGCCAGGAGGAGGGAGGACCATTATGTGCAACACTCAAACCCTGCCGTCCGCGAGCGCGCCCTTTAGTTCGAGAGGGGCCTTTTAGTTCCGGCTGCAGTCCCGCCCACTCAAGGACTGGGGGAGGAGAGCGCAGGCGCGAGCGTGCCCACGTGACCTTTTCCCGGAATTGCGCTAAACCGGGTCGAGGGGCAAAGATTGTTGTTGCAATTATGGCTAAGTCCCAGGTGGGACAGGATCCCGAGTTCTGTGCCGCAATCACTGTGCTGAACC